TGTAGGGTTTCTGAATTTTTTTTGATACATGGGTTTGTGAGGTTTATTGTTTTTTTTTTTTTTCCTGAAGTCCTAAAAGTACCCATGACAACGTACTTTTCCTTGTACATAAATTGTACAAGAACAATTTTTTTGAAGCATTCAGCTGTGGTAACTAGAAGAATTGTTATTTCTCTTTGTCCCTTCCTGACAGACCAGAATAGGGAATCAAAGACTGTTTTGCACATCTCTGGGGGTGTTCAGCCTTTTTTGGTGGGAAGTGGTGATTGATGCTTATCAGCAGTGTGGTGTAGCACAGGCAAGTGTTTTGTTGGCCTTGATGCAATACTTGGAATAGTTTTGAATCTATTGCTTTGATTCAAACTAATGTATTTGGGGGGGTTTCTCTCTCTCCTCAGACACAGACGCCTGGCTTTGCTGAAGCAAGTGAGCATCCGAGAGAACTGCTGCACACTTTGCTGTGATGAGGTAGCAGACACAGAACTCAGGCCATGTGGACACAGGTAAAACCTTAAAAACAACCCAAACCCAAAGAAATGGGAAAACTGTATGTGTGACATTCATCCTATCTTGATTGACTCTCCAGCATAAAGGAAATAATCTACCCTTCTTTTAAGGATGTGACAAGTAGAGTTAAGCATAGTATTCCCACCATTTCCCTCACCCTAGACCTGAGCAGATGTAATCCCTAACTGTGTGTGTGTTTGGGGAAGTACTGTGGCTACAGTGTATGTGTGCTACCCCTGAGCTACCAAGTCTTAATTCCCTGGTGTCAAAGGCTTTTCTGATTAGTGCTTGGTAGAGATGCTGTGAAATCCAGATCACGTGAGGAGAGCAGAAAATTCATAATATACTCAACTAGTCGTCGAATGTTCAACAAATGGATTGTCTCAAGTCACAAAATCCTCTAAAAGCTAAAAATGGGACAGCAGTGTGAGTTATACCATAATAGCACTTTCCTGCCTTCAAGCAGGAAATGAATCCTGTTAAGTCCAGTTCCTTACGGTTTTTAGAGCACTCATGGAAGGAGTCTTGCCATGGGTCTAAATGCTGGAAGGTTAAAAAGAGATGTGCCTGCTGTGTATGTCAGTAAGTGGAGAAGCTTCCTGCAGGGCACTGGGGCTGCTGCTCTCCAGACCAGAGTGAGTGCTGAGATTAATGAACCCAGGCAGGTGTGATCCTGACCAGCTGCAGGTCTGGGAGATGCTGAGCAGCAGGAGCTCCTCTCAAAGCCTGCAGACAGATCCCCAACACCTGACTTGCAATATCCAATCTCCACACTGAAATACTTAACTTGGCTATGTGTCTCTGGCAGGCTGACTAAACTGCTTAGTGCTTGTATATTATTCTGTTGTTGTTTAGTTCTTCATGCTGCAAGTGCAGGCTTTAACTGACTCTCTTTTTCTTCTCCTTCAGTGATCTGTGCATGGAGTGTGCCTTGCAACTGGAGACCTGCCCTTTGTGTCGACAGGAAATACAAACCCGAGTCAGACAGATCTCTCACATTTCATGACACACGTGGAGAAATGCCACAGACTTGTTTGCAATGAACACCAACCAATACTGAAAGGGGAAAGCATCTCTAACCAGTCTTTATGCACATAGAACCATAGCCACGGCCAGATTTCATGCTAACCTGTTAATCTGTTTATCTTAAAAACGAAACCTTTAATAAGCTATTTCCAGTTGCCAGCAATGGGAGCTGGTTTCAGCAGTAAGGAGAGCTGCTAGGTCAGCGTGCTATGGCTGGTGGTTCCTCTGAAGAGCAGAGGGGAGTGTCTCTTCTTCCCCCTTTCCTTCTTGCCTGTCACAAGTGCTGAAAAAGTTTGCACTGGAAGTACACGTACAATGCATTTTAGAAAAGAAGAGAAAATGAGTATCTCCTAAAACAGGGCCGTGCTGTCTTGTGCTCGAAAGTCTCTATTTTTGGCAGAAGTCAGTACTAAAAAGAGAATGCCAATGTTTTCCTGTTTAATGTAGCCTCCTGCTGGTCAGAGACTCTGTTTTCCAACAGTGGATATTGAACTGCTCAGAGACTGAATCTGTACACAGACTCATTTGAAAAGACAGTGTGGAGACTGTAGAGAAACTCACAGGTTTTAATAACTTGGTGATTCCAAAGAATGTTCTGATTTGTTTTTAAATGTTAAAAGATCGGTGGTATTTTCAAGTACATAATGTTTCTGATGCTTTTAACTTCAGTACCCACTTTTTTTGTGAGGTTATAATTTTCAGGAGGTATTCTTAACTAATTATAATGCTGGACTGGAATTAATTTGATATTCTGGGTATTTTTTAAGGTATCATTGAACATCTTTTTTAATCAGTGTTGTTTTTGAAAGTTATATTCACTTTGGAAAAATTGAGCTATCTTAAAATATTAGAGGATAATTTTGGGCCAGTTTATTTAAAAAAGGTTATTTGGGTACCAATTTCAGTCTTATTCTGTAACTCCTTAAAAATGCACCTTGCTTGCCACGTGTCAGTCCTGCTCTGAGCAGGTTTGGGGCCACACTTATTTTTGGTAGGGATCATACAGTGGGAAGCTCTGCTCCACTTTAATTACACATTTGTGATGTTTGTATGTTAAGGATGCATTTCAGCAGGCAGCTCTTGACTGGTTTACTAGGTTTCTACAAGGAATCAGGGTTCACAGCTGGGGTCAGTGAAGTAGCACAAAAATCAGTGGAGTTCTGCTTATTTTGCACCAACTGAGGATACGACTCGGTCTCTTCCAAGACTTGCACAGTTTGATTTTTTTTAATTATTTTTTTTTTAAATTGTCTGTCTGTGAAATGGAACTTTACTAATTCACACACAACTCACAGCAAAACCATCCCACTTCTTGGCAGTGATTCAACAGCAGAAGCTGTTGTGAATTCTCATGCTGCGATGTAGCTTATTTTTAAAGTAATTTGTTATCTTTATTGTACTATCAAATATTAACAAAGCAGAGCTGAGGCTTCTTCCTGCTGAGCATTCTGGCTTCCTACTGACCTGAGCTCTGCACACAGGTCCCAGGATCCAGCTCTCTAGCAACTTCTTTCACCTTCTGCCTTTGCTAACTCAAGGGTGCTGAACTTCATCCAGAGATGTGTGAATTAGGAAAGTTCTGTCCATCATTTTCTTGTTGACTTTTGTCCAAATACAGACTGAATCCAGAAGTGGTGTGCTGGTTAGTGTTTTTGCTAAAGTGTGAATTCTCTTCCACCTTGGATGGAAGGTTTGATTAAAGTCAGACTGGCAAATCTGCCACGGGGACCTCATTTCCTCACTGACTGTACTTTGCAATGTTTTGCTGTAATCCATGTGTCCAGTCAGGGCTGAGTCCCTTCCTGCTCGGTGCTCAATGAGCAAACATGACCACCATCACTGCCACGAGGGTGTCAGTATTTCAGAATCACTTTAAGTGCTTCCAAATGCAATGATTGGTTTTTTATCCCTAAGGTACAAAGACAGAAACTGTACTTTAGGGGAGAAGTGGGACAGAACCATTTTGAACTCTGCCTTAATAGATTCTAGTAACTTCAGGGCTTTGGTTTCCCTGGCCAGGATTAACTGAGGTAAAATTTTCAGAAGTGCCTAGGACTCCTAATTTGTATCAACTGCTGTATGAGATTAAGCTCTTAAGGCCCAGGTCCACAATGGCTTTGAGGCATCTGCTGTCCTCTTGAAATGGGGGTGGCCTTAGAGCCTCGCTGCCTTTGTGGACACGGGACTAAGTGCCTGTGTTTATCGAAAAGATAAATTTGCTTTGAAAATTTTGCCCCAGACCGTCTTCCGTGCAGCTGGTGCTGGGCAGAGGAAGCCAACGGTGGCAGAGGAGGGGGGAGCTGTGTTGCAGAGAACTGTCCTGTTCATTTCACAAAGGGAAAGACTGTACACTTTGACTGGCTTTCTACCGCCATCCGCGCCGGGGGCATCTTTAGCAAGCTCGATACTCCACGACCGGTGCAGCGTCCCCCTCCCTCCCTGGGGACGGGGATGGGAGGCGGCAATGACTCCACAGGCCCTCAGAAGGGGAAACGAATTGTAGCAAAGTTGTTCATTCAACAATAAAAAACATCTTGAAGGCTCTTTGTTGTTCTTTATTTCCTTCTGTTGAGAGCTGTGTTAGGTGTTTCGGTGCCGGTGGCAGCAGGAGCTCCCGTCCCTGAGGGGGGCGAACGGCACGGCCGGCGTGGACATTGGTGCCGGTGCTCGGGTCACCCCAGGGGTCGC